TGAATCATTAAAAAAAAAAAGAAAAGACAAAGAGATAGGAGGTTGGCTGGGACATGTGGCATGAATTCTCCAACAGCTGAGTCTGCCCTTCATTGAGCAAAGGGAAGATGTGGGTGAGGAAGATGTGGGGTCCACCACAACAATCTTGAGCTTGTCATAAACCTCACCACCTATCACAATTTGCCGTTCCTATGAGCTGGTAAAATATTGTCAGTCTTCCCCTCTGAGCAAAGATGGGAGCAAGGGAAGAATCCCACTCCATGGAGATGCCTCTGAGATGCTGTGGAAGGATCCACCTCGCTGGCTGTGGATGTGTCTCTGAGTCAGCTGCTGCAACAACATCCATAGGGTGACTCACCTGACCCACTTCAGGCTGGGATGAACCACCCTCCTCACTTCCAGCGTAGGGAATTAGGGGGATTGGTTTGGATGTGACCATTTCATTTTCAGATGCTTAAGTGAGAGTAGATGAACATCATCCAGGCAGCCAAACTCTCCTGAGTGAGAAAGCCTTCCTCCTCAGGAAGTGAACCATGGTTTTGCCAGGGGCCATTGAGGGCCATGTTTTCACCTGAAAATGAGGACATTTCTACACCCTCCACTCCTCAAAGATGGACCTGATGATACACCAACTGCCCAGCAATTAAAAACTTGATCCAGTCACGTTTCCCTTCAATAAAGTGTTTTCCCTGAATAATCTTCACAGAATCAGATGGGATAATGATACTGTCCCTTGCAGGGAAAGACAGCAGCAAAACTTGCCTCGTTCTGAGGAACAGACGAATAAAAATAAAAAGTCTGGGCTATTAACCCACCACACAGATTAAAACATCTCTTCCTGCCCTAGCCCTCAGCTCCATTTAGCAAACCAACAAATCACAGATAACAGGCTGTAATTATCCTTCCATTTGCAGCTCCTGAGCAATCGTGACCCAGCCATCTCTAATGGGACACAAAAGCCACTGTGGTTGAGGCTTCTTGGGAAATGCCTCAACACTGCATGGGCAAACCTACAAACAGATGTGGCAGATGCTTAATGTTGTATGTTCAATAAGGAGCTCTCAGGCTCCAACATCCCCAATGTGTTATAAAATAATTATTGCTATTGCCATAACTGTTATTAAGAAGAATTTGAACATATACATATTTATCTCCCTTTCTATCAGTTTTAGAGTGAATTATGAATTGCAGTAACAAAAACTAGAATTGTTGAGTTAATTTGTTGGGTTTTGGTGTTTGCTTTCTTTTTTAAAGGGGGCATTAAGCAGAGGTCAGACCTTTTAAAACTTGTTTTAAAATAATATGGCAATTAAATGGATCAGAGGAATTTCAGTGCATAGTTCTACCTTAAGCCATCCAAGAGTAAAATATCACACCTGAACGAGCAGGGATGAGACTTTCAGGATGTCTCCAGGGCAGATAAACTCCAGTGTCAGATGCAGATCAGCTCATTCCATGGGGTTATTATCTCAGGAGAATTTGTATTCAACAGTAACCTGGAACTGGAGCAGCAACCGAGTCCCTGCAACTGCATCCTTGTTGTTCTGCAGGACCCTTCCCAAGGGAACATTCCTCAGCACAACGGCCATGTCAGCTTTAAATGCCCTGTGTGATGATGCTCCTGCCTTTTCTTTGGAAGATGGAATAGTTTGTCACAAGGAGTTCAACCCTGAAATTGCTAATCCTGCCCTAGGGATGAGCCCACCGGGTTTGCACGGGAACACAGTCAATGAGCTGCAGTGAGTTACATAAACAAGGCTGGAACAATCCAGCCAGTTTTAGCCACATTCCTGGTTTGTTTCGTGGAGGTAAAAACTCAAGGCTAAGGAGACAGATCAATAAACTGAGAGAGCAAAAGGTGGGCAGAGAACCGAGCCCCGGCAAAGCAATGGGGTGAGGACATTCTGCCACGAAGCTTCCGAAAAAGCAAACCTGCTTCTCTTCCCGTGTATTTGTGCCCGCTCAATTACAATCCAAACAGCGTCTCAGCAGCCACAGCAGACACGTGAATCCCAGTCCTTGTGGAAAACTACCAAATACCTTTCTGTATGCAAAGCATCTCTTAAGAACGGAACAAGTTCAGCGCACCAAGGGAGCTGGGAAAGTGTCTCACCAGGGATGCTGCGTACTGGGAAGCGGGAATACTCTGAAACAGCTTGTTTCAGTGGTGCTACAGCTAACCCTGGTGATCCAGGATCAGCTAAGATGACTTTTAAGTTGTGGATGGGGGAAAAAAGAGGCATTTTCTCACTGCTGCATTTCCATCCCTTTTAGTAGAGTTGTTCCGTTTCTGTTCTGATGTGGAAAACTCACTCCAAAACCCCGCTGACTGCAGGATGTACCAAATCACAGGTGGGATGGGATGAGATGGCTGGAGGTGAAAGGAGAAGAGGGGTTGGAAACTAAAGAACATGAGCCAACAAAAAAATTCACTTCATTGACTTAAAGGCTGCGGCTGCACCCTCTGGGAAAAGGAATGGGGTGAAATAAAATTCGATACCACCTTTGACTTCTACGTCCTTGCATCAGTTTAACTCTCCTGAACACAGTGCCAAACAAATAACTCCTCTGTTAAAGCAGGACTAACTGTTAAAAACCTGATATCTCTGCAGGTCTCTCTGCCAGAGATGAGTTACAACACGATCCTGTCCTGAGTTTGCTTTTCCTCAGCGGTTCTTCACTCAAATACTCAGCTTTCATTAAAAGATAATCCGAGCTAATTTAGGAATTAGACTGTTTGTACTAAGTGTGCTCAGAAGGAAGGAAAGGAAAACAAAATCTGCTACATTGGAATGAATCAGCCTGGGGACACAGGTCTCAACTTCTCAAAGGCATAGGCACATATGGAACTCAACCCCGGGAAAAAAATATCTCCAGGATGCCAGCTCAGTCAGCCAAATGAAGAGAGATGTGATGCACAGAGGTCTGAGTGTGATCAACAGCACAGCCCACAAGCTCAGAAATCTCTGGTTCTCTCTGCCTGGTATCATCCCACAGCAGAGCTCCTGCCTTGGTGTTTGTGAGCGTCACAAAAACACCGACAGCAGATCCGGACAGATCCGTGTGGCACCGCCATGCAAACTACAGACATCCTAAACCTACAGGGAGGAAGGAGCCCTCCAGTTCCTCACAGGGACCCCAAGGAATGATGGAAGGCTAAAGCCGAGGAGCCATCACAAGGCTAGTTCTCTGTTTACAGAGAAATAAGTGTGTTTATCACACAGAAAGCCCCCCCTGACCTTGGAGCCTGTGCAGTGTCAGTGGTTATCCTTCCAGTCCTGCACACATGCCTTCGACTGGAGAAAACAAAACCAACACAAATCTCCCACTCCTGGGTGAGATGAGCTGCCTGGGCAATGACAGATCAGCTGGAGCTGTCCTGAATGACAACAAAGCAGCAACCACTGCCTGCAGCGCAGAGGGGCAGGTGGGGATAAAGGCAGAAGACCACAACCCAAAACTGTAACCAAGACAACAAGCAAACACATCAACTTTAATCCAACTCCCATTACTGCACTGTCTAGCATTCCTTAATTATCCACCAAATTGGAGCAGCTTCACTTTACCCACCCCATAGGACAACTTCTTCTGAGCCACCTGCAGCGTGTTTTGCACTGGCCAAAGACAGATGCTTGTATAACACGTCCTTTCTCTGCAGCTACCCCAGCAGCGCTTCAAGGAGTTTGCCTTCCTGCTGTCCTTAGCCTTAAGTAACCAAACATTCCCTTTGATTAGCCCTAGGAATGTTTCCCTGCTGTACCTGACCAGTGCTGCATAGGCTGAACAGAGAAGTGAGGTGGCCCTGCACCCAAAGAACAGCAAGGGAAAACCCCTTTGTTGGCTACAAGAGAGTAAATAAAAATATCCCCAAAGCTCCTTCACTTCCACATTGTCATATCAGTCCAGCACTTGCACTGTAATTAACATGCACCAGACAGATGGGAATTGATAACACCTTGGGAAAGAATCAGGTCACTTTGCTGCCTTTTTCACTTTGGTTAATATTTCCTTCTCATTATAGTTCCCTCCTGTGCTGCTCCAATATATCCTTCAAGCTGAAGGCCAGATTCTGTTTACCTGCAGATCAGATGCAGAGGAAATCCACTGACTTCCAGGGAGTTCTTCCAGACCTGCTTCTACGTGAGTGGGATGTTTGTCTGGTGATAAACACCGGGATGTCACTAACCAAATCCCCCCCCCTTTTTTTTTCTTTTTTTTTTTTTTCTTCAGGTATTTTCCAGTTCTGAACAACATGCTGCATTATCTCATTATCTTAATCCCCCCACGGCTGCAAACTCGCCAGATTCCAACACACACCTGAGGGGTTCACACGCTAAATTCTCAGCACATCGGAAAAGAGCCTGTCCTGTGAGCCACCCCCCGACTCGAGATGTGCTTTGCATGGAGATGGTCTCATTGGAAGCAGCTGCTCAAATCCTGATAAGGAGATGTGTCCGGAGGCAAGCGGAGGTCAAAGGCACACCAACCGCAGTCTTACCCCCCAGGAAATGCCGGGAAGTCCCGGTGCACCGCTCGGAGGGTGAATCGGAGTTTCTGCGGCAGGTGAAGATGCAGAACTGCAAAGGGAGCCCGGGGGGCTCGGAAATGCCGCCAGCAGCAGCAGCAGCAGGGGCTGTTTAGCAATCACGTTTTATTTACCAGCCATATTGTGTTAAAAACAGACGTGATTCCCATACCGAGCGCCTTAACCTGTCACCACTCGCGAAGGGAGATTGGTTTGTTTGGGAAGAGCCAAACCTCTCTGGAGGACGCATCCTCCGAGCCTACAGTTCTGCCGGAGGCAGGAAGCCTGCCCGCGATTCCCGGCTAAAGAAGTATTCCCAGGACCTGGGGAAGCGCAGGGAAGAGCCGGTAAATCGATGTCAAGACGAGCCGGTGGGTCCTTCTCGCTTCGCCGCTTGGGCATCCCCGGGGTCTGGGAATGGGGTAGCGCCGGGGGGAGGTGGGGAAGGAAGGAAGGAAGGAAGGAAAGGACTTACCATTGCAGCAGGGATCCGTCCCGGCGCTGGAGATGCCGCATGCCCGTGGTGCGGGGCGGGGCGGGGGCCGCGGGGGGACAGCGGCCGGTCCAGCCCCGCCGGCTCCGCGCTCCCCCCCGGCCGGAGGAGGGGTCGGCGCCTCCGAAGGGAATCCAAATTCCTCCTCCTCCTCCCTCGCCTGCCGGTCATGTCCGAGCTGCCTTTGCTCAGGGGATGGGCCAGCTCCTGGCCGTGAAGGAATTTGCCATCGCTAAAATAATTAAAAAAAAAAA